ATTGCAAACACACGTCCTACAGTTCTTGCCACTTTCTGAAGCAGTTCTGGAAGTCTTCTTCCATGCGTGTCTTTATGAGTTGTGATTTAAAATATAAATATATATAGTGAATGCTGCTGCCAAGCACCACCCCACAGAAAGACCGGCTCATCAAAACATTACAGCGCGCCTTCATCCACCTTATTCACAGGATCTGGCACCGTGCAACTTCTGGCTCTTCCCCAAGGTCAAAATGAACATGAATGATCAACGCTTTGGATCATTGTGGGATGACAAGGCAGCCACATCAGCACAAGTGGAAACGCTCATGAAAAAGTGCTCCAGAATTACTTCAGAAAGTGGCAACAACCATGGGATAAGTGTGTTCAAAGTTAGGGGATCCCCTTATCTTTAAGGGGATTAATGGCAATATATCTTTTACTGTAATTTTATATTTAAACACATACCATGTTTCATGATGACACACTGTACACAAGTCACCCAGGGATCTGTCTTCCTTCCTCCACACCCCAGCTTGACAATAAACTCATGGTGTCAGTATTTCAGTCAGTGGAACTCACAAGGAAGTTTGTCTTATTCAGTAACTATCTCACAGATGTGAACTTACGGAACCCATATAACTACCCAGGGAAGTCAGTACAGTTATGTCCGGTTTGCAAGGGGTGATATCAAGGTGCAGAGAAGTTAAGCAATTTGTCCTAGACGACACAGCTAACAAACGGTAAAGCCAGGAGAGTGTTTCACCCTCCTCCCTGACTGCTGGGAGGATTTTTCTGTCTCTTTCCCAGAAACCCTGGACCTGGTGCCAGGGCCCAGACAGTTTGGGAAAGACTGGCCGAGAATGCCAATCCCTAGAGGCACTCAAGCATCCCATGTGTGGAGCTGGGGAAAATTGTACCATGTTGGGGTGGGTGCTGAGTGCACTCAGAGGAGCTACAGGAACAGGGTGGCCTCTTGGGTGGAGACAGAGACCCCCCCAGGGGAGCCTGAGTGCTGGTGACAACTCTGGGGACCACACACCCCCAACACAGGCTGAGACCCTGCTGTGTGCCCACCCCCCCTGCAGCACCCCCCTTCCGATTTCTGCTCAGGAACCCATGACCATTATGATACAAAGACCATTGTGATACAAAGACCACTTCTTATAAACAAATGTATATAAACCAAGCAGAGGGTTTTAATGTAACTTTTGAGGATCCAATTCACCCATTCATTAAACTTTGTCCAGTAGTTGTATATGATTAAAAATGATTCATTTCAACCTTGTGTAGCTAAGGTCAAGGATCAGATTCAAGCCCAATGTGAGCTCTACCAATCTATCCAGCATGGTTTCTCTT